GCACCAGAGCCTGGCGCCCTTGCACCTGCGCCTGAGGGACCCAGGCCCAGCTGTCTCTATGGTCAGTGTCCATCTGCCGGCAAGGCGGGCGATAGGCCTTGGCCTTGCCCAGGGCTGGGGTCCGCAGGTGGCCGGGGGAGGGGTAGGCAGATGGCAGGAGATCCCTGAGAGTGAGGGGTGCTCCGTGGGGCAGCAGGTGGTGGGCAGAGGGTCTGGCCATCTCTGCTGGTTTCCCTGACCACAGTGGGCCTGCCCCGAGTGTGCACACACACACACGCTTGCTGTGTGGACAGGACCCAGTCTGTCCTGCTCACTGCTGTGTCCCCAGGGCCTGGCAGGGGTGGAGGCCCAGACTCCTCACTGAACTTGTCAGAGTGGGGACTGAGCCCTGCCTAGTGTGCCCCATGCAGTGCCTTCACCGGAAACACTAAAAGCAACCAGCTCCCAAACAAGAGACAGAGCTGCATGCAGACCAGCCTGGGGGCCACAACCAAGGTGGGGGAGGCTTTCCCGAGGGGGCGAGGGGACAGAGCCAGAGAACACCAGCTCAGCAATGAAGCCTGTGGTCCCTGCGAGAAAGGGCTCAGAGACACGGACAGGTGGGTGACCCCCTCCCATGGTCATCCCCACAGCCGGCCAAGTTCACTTTCTACTGCCCTGTGGAGCTGCGCTGTTGGCTGCTGCAACACACCACCCACCAATTCCTCTGCACCTGTCTGGGGAGGGCCCAGAGTCGAGAAGGAGGGGCCTGGGGGGGAGGGGCAGGGGCCAGGCTTACTGCTCCCCATCCACCCCGTCTGGCATACAGCTACTGCTGCAGCCCTGGGAGCTGAGTGGGACAGGCTGGGGCTGGAGGTCAGAAGTGATGCCAGCCGGTGAGGGTCCTCGGTCAGATGACCACAGCCAGGAGTGCCACATCCACTAGCTGCAGGCAGCCCTCTTCAAGGGAGGGAGGAAGCAGGCAGGCTTCAAGCCCACCCCCGCCCCTGTCTGCTACCACCTGAGCAACCCTGACCCTCTCCCACCCTGACCCACCGCCAGCAAGAGAGGAAAGGGGACTGAGGAGGGGCGAGGCTGAGTCTGAGCGCCCTGAGAAGACAGGGAGCCCCTGCCCACCAGCCAGCTGCACCGTCTGCTGTACAGGTTATACCAGCTGCTACCACCCCCAGGCTGTGTCCCAGATGCTGAACACTGTCGGCACCCACCTGCTCTTCTGCAGTAAGCAGCCCCAACCCCCAGGCCACACCCTCCCATGCCGGCTCTAGCACCCTAGATGGCAAGACAGAGGCCCCAGAGCAGAAGCTTCTCCAGCCCCTCCCCAGCCCGGTATCAGCACCAGAACAGACTCAGGCCTTCCGAGCAAAGCCCAGCGCCCACCCCCACCTGTGTCTGGAGGTTGAGGCTGACCCCCACCCCCGGGCCCCAAGCAGGACTCCTGGGACAGGGCTCGCTCCCACTCCACAGCTGCCCCCCAGGCCCCAGGGACACAAGGACCCCGGGAACAGGTGGGGACAGCAAGTGATGAAGAGAAGTGTCCCAGGCCTGGAGTCGGAGGAGACGGGGCCTGGGTGCCACCCTACCCACCTCCCATCTTGGAACGAGAGGGCTGCTCCTGGCTGGGGTCGCCCAACTTGTTCCTTCTCTCCAGGAGTTCTTGAAGATCTCACAAGATGCCCAGGGCTAGCATCTGGGGGTTCACCACCAGGCCGTTCTTTCTTTCTTCCGGGAAGTGCTGGCCAGACCCCAGCAGGGACCTCCAGCTGCCCCTTCACCCTCTCCTCCTCCCTCGCACCCACCTGGCTGGTCAGCCCTGGCCCATTCCCCTGCAGGGCTTTGCATCTGTCCATTTGAAATAAAGCTCTAGATTTGACAAAGAAGCGTTACACCTACAGGTTTCCTGCCCGTCATCCCATGGGCCCCTCCACTGAGACCAAGCCAAGCCCCAGGAGACACCGGATGGACACAGGGTCAGGCCTGGGGGGCAGAGACGAACTGTGAAGTCTGTGAGGGACGCTGCAAACAGAGGTGGGGTTGACTTGGTCAGGGAGACCCAAGCCCAAGCCGACGCCTGCAGGGTTCTGGACACCCGAGGGCCGTGCAAGGGCAGGTCCAGCCTCGGAGCCGATTTTCACGCTTGACGGAGCCGTTCACCAAGGTGGTCACACGGTCTTCGGTTCGCCTCTAACTCAGAGCTGCGCCGTGGCAGATGGTGGGAAGGGCCCCCAGACCTCTCCAGCTGGGTGA